CTTCTTATTTCAATAAATACTTTCGTTAAAACAGTAAATGAGTATTTAAATTAAATCATTTCTTAACTATTCTTAGCTTTATTTGGCTGGAACTAATATATATTATGCTTATTCGTGCCCTGAAGAATCAATAGAGCGAAAAGGCCTTCGGCATTTAAGAGTCCTTTCTTCCTCTTTCCTCCTTGTTTTAGTGATAAGGTGTATGATGTAAGATATAGTGTGCCTATTTCAGGAAAATCTGGAAAAGAAGTAATATGTAAACATGATTTTCAGATCTCTGATCGTTCGGCATTTTTCGTTTCTATTACGGCTGTTCTGACATGCTATTTCTTAATTCATATGAGTGATTTGTTATATCAATTGTTGTTATTGAATTTTCCATCCACTGTCGGACCTTTTTGTGCCACCTTTTATTCTAACATTTATAAATTAAAAAAGCAGCATTTCAGCTTTCAAAACTTGAAGTTACGGCAACAGAAAAAAATCGTACAACAAATTGCTCTTCGAGCAAATATCTCCTCAAACTGAATATACCTATAAACTAAAACCAATGGATATAAAGTATTTCTGATGAAATAGACAATCTGATTTGGAAAGAGAGAATACCCAGAAATTACCAAACTAACAAATCTGAACGTACGCACATATATATACATACAGGCGTATATACATACGAACATGTATGTATATATGCATAAATTTAATACAGATGTGGACATACACACTTACATATATATGCATATCTATTGAGAGTAAACTTGCATACACTCAAAAACACATACAAACGCATACATACCTATTGACACACGTGTGTGTATGTTTATGTTTATGTGCATATGATTAATATACATATATATATATATATATATATAGTGTGTGTGTATGTGTGTAAATGTTTGTGTATATATATACATATAAACACATCCGTTTTGTAAGCTAATGGATGTCTTCGCATTTCACTATCATAGTAGTTTAAAATATCATTTCTGTAGCCTAGTGTTTTTTCCTGACAAAGTATGTCCGAACTAAAGTGACAGCAGTTTTTTCAAAAATCACACTTACAAGCACGTGATTAACGACAAGATGAATTCCTGAATTCATCGTGGACACACACATAAATATATGAATATATATGTGTGTGTGTGTGCGTGCTGTGCGGAGCAGGAGTAACGGTCTCGTCTTGCAGTCTTGCTCACCTGCGTTCAATTCCCAAACAGCCAATTTAAGTAATTTAGAATCCTGTACACCGAAAAGTACCATGCTAATTAAAACTAAATCATTTACATATTTATTATTTATATACTTAATCATTATATATATATGCATATATATATATATATATATATATATATATATATATACATATATGTATACATATACATATATATATGCATATATATATGTATATATAAATATATATGTATGTGTGTGTGTATTTATATAGCATGTGTGTGTATAAACAAATGCTATGCTATGCTATATAAACAAATATATATTCATATGATGTATATTCATATGTATGTATGTTGTGCATATGTATATACATATATATCTGTATGTTTGTATACATTTACACTTACACATGTATACATATGTAAGTGTATGAAATGAATCACCTCTACCTTAAGTTCATCGTTGAGACGAAAATAATTGTACCTTTTTGCTGTGACCTTGTGCCGATAAGTATTCAGATCGGAGGTCAGTATATAAGCATCCACAGGTCTGAGAGTCAGTCATTGCAGGTGAAGCCAACATAATGGTTAGTGACATGTCCTTATTCAGAGTTGGAATTTTCCTGTAATGGTACCTGCTAATGTTTCTTAATGAGATACCTATGAGAAATACTAAGTAACATTACTTAATATAGTGATGCTAAATAGATTAACAATCAAATGTAAAGTCTATAATTAGGTTTTCGTGAAATGTATATGATTATCTTCTTCAGGTAAAACTAAAAATGTTTACCTTTCAGATAACATTTCATGTCATCGTGAGCACCGTCCTCGTGTGCTCACACGCCTTCGTTGCAAGTAGCTACTCGGGACTTCCCCCTGGGGACGCCACTCGGAGGATTTTCGCAACACGGCACTCTTCACGGTGGTTTCATCCCCGATGGTCTTTATGACAATGATGCGTTCCTTGTCAACCACAGACTGTCACTGGGGCATTTGCCAGGACCGATATACCGAAATAGAGGCTACTTGGAAAACGCATACGACAATGGTGCACATTTTGGAAATCCATATGGTGCAAGATTTCTCAAATATTTATACGAAAACCGCCTAGGCCTTACCAGTTCATACGGTGGCCTACCAAACGTGAGAATCGATGAAATTAGCGAAGCTGAGGATGAAAGATCGTCTAACACTGGATCAGAGAGCGGGCTTGGTGTTACAAAGGATGCAGATTTCGTTTCCGACAATCAAGACTTGGCTTCCACTCAAAATGGAGTTTCTAGCTTACATTCAAGTCCTATTGCCAATTTGGGTGTCTTCCCTTCTGTTTCTGGACCTTATACTTATGTTGGTAGTTTAAGCAGATTCCCTTATAATATTCGTCCATACACTCCTGATGTTGGTTTAGAAAGATATCTTTATGGTCCTGGGCCTCTCACCTCTAATTATGGGTTAGGAGGGTTCTCTTATGGCGTTGGGCAGCACACTGGCTTGGGAGGACTCCCCTACGGTGTTGTAGGTCAGCCTTCTGTACTTGGTTCGGGAGGTTTCCCTTCCGGTCTTACTCATGGCACTTCTATTGCGGCTTTAGACCAGCAGTATAGATTGCTTTCGAGTGGTGGACCTCGCATTTCTGTTGGTGCTCTCGGTAGATTCCCTTATGGTTTTGAATCTCATACTCCTTTTACTGGATTCCCTCCTGGTCTTGAACTTGACTCTCCTCTTAGTGGATTCTATTCAGGTCCTGGACCTTACAATCCAGTTACTTATTTAAATAGATCGTTTCCTGATCTTGGACTGTACACTACTGGTCCTACTTCAAGCAAATTCAATCACGGTCAAGGACTTTACACTTCTAGAGCTGCTCAGAACTCACTCCATTCCAGCTCTAGATCTCGTCACTATAGTAATGCTTCTTCTGAGAACAAGAATAAAAAAGGCAAGAAAGTAGCAAAGACTTAGTGACCTCTGAAGGCAAACGTGAATGTTTATAAAGATACAGCTATAATTTGAATAAAACAAAATTTATTGCTTGCCTTTCAGTTCTATCCCTTTTACCTTTTATAAATGCCATATGGATTTTTTTTATGTAAAAGAGAAAGGGTTCCTTTTATAGTAATGATAAAAGTTATACTGTACAGCATTGTTAAACATATAAAATTTATGTATCGCAGCATTGTTTTGTTTCTTTCTCACTACTATTAAAATCAAGAGCAATGAGTAAAAAGTAAAATGTAAATCCAAAAGAAGTTTCACTGAATATACAGACTGAACATGTATATATGTGTATAACAATGGATCATATTTGCATTTAGACTTGAGATAAAGATAATGAAAGCCCAACAGAATATTGAGATCGTAATGTCATCCTTTGTGTGTTTGTCAGATAACTTTGGTGCGTTAGGTCAAGAAGATCTGCACAAGATATTTGCAACTTCTCTCTTACAATAACTAATACTATTTCCTCTTATTTCTTTGCCAGGAATTGCCCAGTTGTTTTAGCCTTCATACTTCTGCAAATATGATTTCTCTTTAATCCCGCTTAGTATGAGATATCAGATCACGGTATGTTGCAACTCATTTTGGAAAGATAATCATTCAAGTTGATTTAATTTGTTGAATGTTCTTTCCCATGATTACATCAAGGGTCCGTCTGCCCTTAGAATCATTCCATGTGTTCTTACCATCCATTCTCGGTCATTTTTACGGGTGTTGATGCGAGTACATTAAACCTGCAAGGCTAATGTGGAGAATCTTGTTTGCTTCCTTTCAAACCATCCCAATACGTTTCTTCCCCTGCATTAATAACATTCACATCTATTCAGCATATGAATTAGTATCAAACCAG